ATGAAAAGATGTGATAAAATTATCTAGAGTGATAATGATATCTCCTGCATTCATTATATTTGGCATTTACAATTCAGAGAAATATAACTGGGCAGAAATTATCCCCATTTTGAGAAACCCAGTCCCAGAGAGGCTGGCTGATTTCCCAAACAGCAAAGGAGGAAAAGATCTAAAACTTTAAACAGAGACGAATAGGGTATGATCGCCTTCATTCAGGATTCTAAAATCTTCCCATCACAGTATGAAAATCACATTAACTTTTCTGGCAAATATATCACATTTTAACTCATAATAAGCCCCAAATATAAAATGTCCTTCTGTTAAGCCACATCTTCCTCATCCTCTATCAATCCTTAGCTTTCCAGAGTCTCCATGCAGCACTTTCATTTCCATCTGTTAACGCACTGCTCTAATCTGTTGAAATCTTTTCAGGTTCTTATTCTTACTGCACCTTTTAACATGTCAATTACTCTTCCGACTGCCATAGGAACTCAGAGACAATCACATGCTACCTAAATTATTAATGGAAGTATTGAATAGGACATTGAATAAAATTATTTAATTTAACGCTACAAGAATTAAATGCTCTTTATGTACCTGTAAAAGTGTTTACAAATCACCTAATTTGTATATGGAAATTTTACTTAATATTTTTATTTCAGGACCAGATAAACTTTGCCATCCAAATAGTAATACATCCTCTTTGCTTCTATCAGAATTATAACCCCTAGTATATTTTTTAGCCAAAATGTATTGAACACTTACTATATGCCAAGCATTGTCCTGAGGCAGGTCCTGTTATCCTCACTTTAGAAATGAGGAGACCAAGGCATAAAGATGTTAAAGAACTTGCCTGAGGACTAAGCTAGTCATGTGGCTGAGCTAGGGATTTCAACATGGGTCTGACGCCAGAACCCACACTTGAAACCACTGCCTCTGTTCTGAAGACATTTACAGGTTTCTTTCTCCCAGTTTGACTGTAAGATCCCTGTGGGTCTCCAACTTCCAGCACAGTTCTGGCATACATTAAGTACTTAATATATTAGCATTAAGTTGAAACTACAGCACAATAAGGATGGAAAGGGCTCTGTAGCCTAAATAAAAGTAAAAAGAGCATCATAGCTGCCTGCAAATATCTGAAGGCTGCCACATAGAGGAAGTATCAGTTCCAATGTATGCAGCTGCAGAGGATAGTACTAAAACCAACGGGCAGCATTAAAGTAAAGCAACTTCTAACTAAGACCAACTAAGTCAGCAGTAATGGGCTGGGGGCAGTGGCTCACACCTGTAATCCCAGAGCGTTGGGAGGAGGATGAGACGGGTGGATCACTTGAGGTCAGGAGTTCAAGACCAGCCTGGCCAACATGGCGAAACCCCGTCTCCGCAAAAAAAAAAAAAAAAAAAAAAAATATATATATATATATATATACACACACACATACACACACACATACATACATACATACATATCTATGCACATGCACACACACACAGTTTAGCCAGGAGTGGTGGCATGCGCCTGTGGTTCTAGCTACTAGAGAGGCTAAGCTGGAGAACTGCTTGAACCTGGGAGGTGGAGCTTGCGGTGAGCCAAGATCACGCTACTGCATTCCAGTATGGAGGACAGAGAGAGATTCTGTCTCAAAAAAAAAAACAAACAAAACAAAAGACAGCTATTGAAAACAAGAAGGATGTCTTAATATAAGATTCCTACCACCAGAGGTATTTAAAATATGCAGATTACCAGATGATGTAGAAAATAATCCCATACTGAGAATCTCCGGTTAGGGTAAATCAGTGGTTCTCAAATCCCAGTCCACTGATCTGCTACATCAGGCATGAATGTTTTTTTTGTTTATTTGTTTTTTTGAGATGGAGTCTCACTCTGCCCAGGCTGGAGTGCTGTGGCGTGATCTCGGCTCACTGCAAGCTCCGCCTCCCGGGTTCACGCCATTCTCCTGCCTCAGCCTCCCGAGTAGCTGGGACTACAGGCGCCCGCTAGCTCACCCCGCTAATTTTTTGTATTTTTTTTAGTAGAGATGGGGTTTCACCGTGTTAGCCAGGATGGTCTCGATCTCCTGACCTCATGATCCGCCTGCATGAATGTTTAAAAGAAAAAAAATTTAAATGCACACACATACACAGGAGCCTAGGCTCTACCCTGGAACTACTGAATCAGAGTGCTTGTAGTGGGCTATGCATGTTTTAACAAGCCCACCAGGTCATTTTGAAGCATAGCCAAAATTAGAAAGGTTGGTCTTGTGAGTTCCTGTTCAACTTAAACATACTATAGTGTTATACAGCATACCTTCATACCTCTCTGAAGGTATGCTCTGTAACTCTCTGAAGGTATGCTCTCAACTATCTCTTAATTTATCATTGTATTTAAAGTTCTAATGTATGACAGATGCCACAGTCCCCAAATGACTCTCACTCTCTAAATCAAACTCTGGCATCTACTCTCATTTCACTGTCTCCTTTCAGTTACAGTTATTGTGAGAAAGCTTCTTCCAAGAACTTAGTGTTAATTTGGAAACTGTAGTTTCCAAACTGTGCATCATCTCTACATGTCACCCAATCTGCTTTCAGATCTTATACACTTTTTATCACCATGGATAAAAACACTGATACAAGCTTCTTTAGGTAAAGGACTCAGATGTTTACATTGCTTTGCTACTAAACTATCTTCTAAAATTTTGGAATTAAATAAAAATACACATTCTTCACCATACTTCCCATTTTAAAATATGTAAAATTTAGGAAACTATTTAGAAAGATTACTCCCTAAATTTTACATCTATCACCAACTTAAGTAGAGAATCATTGAAGGACTGTGAAGGAGTGAGCCACATTTTAAAATCAATAAATATTTTTGGGTACCTACTGTATGTAAAGTACTGTTGAGGGCATGGAAGTGGAAGAGAGACAAAGAAACGCTCAGTATATATTTCTAACATTTAGTTAATACTATGTGCTAGGCACTGTGCTAAAACTTCTTGTGTGTTCCCTTTTAATTCCCTTAACAAGCTACCAAGGTTAACTTCATTTTGCAGATGAAGAAAGAAAGTGGTTATGTAACAGGCCCTGGGTCACAAAGCTAACAAGTGGTACAGCTGAGATGGATTCAAATTCAACAACCACTTCTGAGCATGCACTCCTAGTTACTACACGATACTGAACCTGTCCCTTTAACACCACACTACATATCTGACAGGGGAGGGGAAACGCTTACAAAAAGCAACCAAAGACAAATGCTTGGCAGAGGTAGAAAACAGAGAAAAACTTGAACTCTCCTGGGTGGAGGCAAGGAGGGGCTATGGCTTTGAAGGAGGGGTATTTTAATGACAGTAAGTGTCTCAGGGGCAGGGAAAGGGTAGAAATGCATTTCAGCTGGAGTCCGAAAAGCACACTGCTCATTCGGAGAGGATTCTGCCCTCTCTTGAAGCTGATATGCAGCCTGCATGGGGTGCAAGGGGTGGGGAGGCAGCTGGAGGAGAAGACGAAAGCTTTGTTGGGGGTGACTTTTGTAAAGGGCCTTAATGCCATATTAAGGATTAGAATTTTTCTATAGGTAATGGAGAAGCAGCAAAAGTTTCCAGTGCAGAAATGACATGATCTGATCTGTTTTTTCTTCTTTTTTAATTTGAGGTCCATATGACAGATGAATCAGAAAGGGGGAATAACCAGAGGCTGAAAGGAGTGATAAGTACGACTTGAATTAAGGGCAGGAGAGATGGGGACAAGAAAGCATCAATTCAAAAACATCTATGATCAACAAAACCTTCAAGGCTGAGAATACAGCTAGATAAACACTCATTTCCTCAGGGAGTTCCCTGACCTTCCATTCCAGGGACCTTGTTTTTGGTAAGAGATGAGAATTTCTCTGGGGAGAGTTAGGGATGAAATCCGGAATGTCTCTAGAAAATCAAAGAATCAGACATTTAGTCCTGGTTGCAAACCACGAAATCACATCAAACCAGTTAGCTGCCAACCTTGCCTCTGCTTCTATCACATCACATTTGTTCTTAAAACGTGCTCCCTTCCGAAATCTCTGCTTTGTCATCAACCCCAAGGCAACCTAAAGTTCAGAATACTGAGTGCACCTGAGTAGACCCTCAGAGAACTTGCCTCCTACCATTCCACTGCCATATTTCTATATTTCTACACATGATTTTCTGAATTTTATTCAGCTTTGATTAAAATACTTTCTTCTACAAATATCTAATTTACCACATAATTTCCTAGCTGAAATAAAGAACCCTGCCCAGCCCTTTGGCTTATGAAACAGACAACATAAAATAACTGTTATTAATTGGTACTCATTTTCAAACGTTTTCCTTTTTATTTGACAATTTTGAAAACAACTACTTGTATATATGACTGGTTTCATGGTTCCTATCTCCGGGCAGTTGATTTTTCACTCCACCTCAAAGATGAAATCGTTGAATTCCTAAGCAACTCTTTCCCCATCTCCATCACACTGGGTATCCATGGCAACATGTCCTGAGGAACTGGTATACTGTGGCATTTCATTGTTTAATGGAGCACCTAATGTCAATTACTGTAAATATAACTTTATATGTGTCTATATTACTTAATCTCCTTTGTATTCTATAAGGCATATATGACAGTCTCTAATTCCCTGGAGACAATGCATTATCCCCTCTAGTGAGTAAAAGCCACAGCAGAAAAACAAAATGAGAGTATGCACAGGATGATTTAAGATCCTTGGACTGCCTCTGTTGCAGTGATTTTTCACCATGTTAAAAGACACAGCCAAGGGTTTTTATCCAGGCAGACAAAAACTGTGCAAATGCCATTACTCCATGAGGTACTTACAATCCCTAATAAATCGCATGCACATTGTTTTCATAGGGGCTGATAAACAAGTCACAGTCTGTTTTTAGAAGCATCTTATTTGTTTTAGTCATAGTCACATGTTTCAGTAGAATTTTGGTAGATCCTAAAACCTTGTTACATTATGAATTCTGGTGCAGTTGAAGTTTTTGTTTTGCACTTACATGGTATAGATCAATCATCAGCAAGAATTTCCCACTGTCTCACTGCTGGTCTCATTTTATCTACCAGACAATGTCCTGAGAACAGAATCGCAAAGTCTGTTCCATACAGAACACTTTCAGAGCTTGGTGCTCAGCACTGTCCCAGACTGATCACACCCTAACATGTTGGTTCTCTGTTAACCAGCACACTTCGGACGGGATCCAACACATTCTCGTATCATATTTAATTCTGTACTTTAGTGAACGTGCATTTAAAATCTAAAGCTGGAAAGATTTTAATCTTTCTATTTTTTAACTCTCTCATTTTACAGATGAAGACATCAGAGAGGGAAGCAACCAATTCCAGAGTCTAGGATAAAAATGTGAGTATCCCTGTCTCCTTGACAGCATAAAAATACTGACACATTCTTATTACCCTTTTTGTTTCTGGTTTTTGAGAATAACAAACATTAATGGATATTATCTCAGGGCGGTTCTTCATTAAGCAAATCTATATTGTCTATAAAGCTGCTTTATTTAAAAAATGGACATTTTTCCATGTCCGTAAATATGGGTCTAGACAATTGTTTTCCATACTAGCTTAATTTTCATTGAATGAGAATACCAACATTTATTTACCCACTTTTTTATTGTTGAAAATTTAGGTTGTTTCAAATGTTTCATGACAGTAAAAACATTTAAGTGAACATCTCTGCACATTCATCAGACGCACTTGTTTGATCATAACCTTAGGATATATTCTGAGTTGTGAAATGCTGAGGTCAAAAGTAAGCACATTTTGACGCATAGTGCAATTCCGCACTTTGGAAGTATATCAACTTATGCTGCCTCAATTTTAGAGGTTCCTTAAACAAATTTAGAGAGTGTCAGTTTTCCAAGCCCTCACTAATAGTGAGTATCTGCATTCATTTTTATCTTTATCAACAGTAAAGTCTACCCTTTTGTGAAATATCTCTTCATGTCCTTTTTCTATTTTTATAATAGTATGTTTGGCCCTAAGTTCTTGACTCCACTTTAGTTAAGTGAGCTTCAATTATAATTTCTGATTATGTGTAATTTTAGAGAAGGCAATTCCAACTTGATTTTAATAGGTCAAGTATAGATAAAACATCCAGTAGAGTTTCATTTCTAAATACCACATCCCTTAATGAAAGCACTTATGAAAGCACAAATGCAACAGTTACAAACACAAGACTTACCTAGTCAGACCAGGACTCAGATCCCAGCTCTGCTCCTATTTGCTGCATGATCTTTGGCAAGTTATTGAATTCTCTCTGTCTCAGTTTCTTCAGATGTAAAATAGTGATAATGCTGTTGTATTATTTACTATGCTAAGCTATTGCATGCATTATTTCATTTCATTCTTACCACAATCCTGTGAGGTAAGCACTATCGTATCTCATCAAATCTAAGATGCCTTTGGTTTAAAATATTATGCACCACTAAGAAAAAATGCTGCATGTAAGATGCATGTTTCTTTTGGTATCATTGACACTGAGGTTGTATTACAATTGGTGGCATCTTACAGTTTCCATTGGCAGCATTTTTTCTTAGTGGTGCATAATATTTTAAACCAAAGGCATCTTAGATTTGATGAGATATGACAGTACTTACCTCACAGGATTGTGGTAAGAATGAAATGAAATAATGCATGCAAGAGCTTAGCATAGTAAATACTCCAAAAAAACTGTTAGTAAGCATTCATACAGTGTTACATATTTCTACAACTTTGATTTAAATGTTTAAGATTTCTAAAATTGGCTAGGCGCGGTGGCTTATGCCTGTAATCCCAGCACTTTGGGAGGCTGAGGAGGGCGGATCATGAGGTCAGGAGATCGAGACCATCCTGGCCAACATGATGAAACCCTGTCTCTACTAAAAATACAAAAATAAATTAGGTAGGCATGGTGGCAGGTGCCTGTAATCTCAGCTATTCGGGAGGCTGAGGCAGGAGAATTGCTTGAACCCAGGAGGCTGTGGCTGCAGTGAGCCTAGATTGTGCCATTGCACTCCAGCCTGGGCAACAAGAGTAAAACTCTGCCTCAAAAAAAAAAAAGATTTCTAAAATTGATCTGAAAAATGTTTTTGGTTCCTTGAAGGAGCATATTTCATATAAAATAGTTGAAATATTTTAATTTTAAAATTACCACAGCAAAAATAGGTTCTTATTTAATGTAATTTAAAGGGAATCTAGTTTGAACAGGAAGTGATCTATTATTTTGTACTTTCAGGAAAGAATCAGCTCAACAATGTACTAAAACCATGAGATTAAGCAAAGTCTCCAAACAGCTAATGGAGAATTAATGCAAAGAACAGCATGGAAACTTTTCATTCAAGTCAATTTAGGCTGGACTCAGTGGCTCAAACCTGTAATCCCAGCACTTTGGGAGGCTGAGATAAGTGGATTACTTGAGGTCAGGAGTTTGAGACCACCTGGCCAACATGATGAACCCTCCTCTCTACTAAAAATACAAAAATTAGCTGGGGGTGGTGGTGCACACCTGTAGTCCCAGCTATTCAGGAGGCTGAGGCATGAGAATCACTTGAACCCAGCAGGCAGAGGTTGTAGTGAGCCGAGATCATGCCACTGAATTCCAGCCTGAGCAACAGAGTGGACTCTATCTCAAATACATAAATAAATAAATAAATAAATAAATAAATAAATAAGTCAACTTAACCATAATGTTTTCCCATATGCTGCTGTGATTGGATCTTTTACAGATGCATAAACTCAAATCAATGTCATTTCTTGGAAACTGCAATTAGAAAACTATCATTGGAAATACTGGAGAAGGCATGAAGGAGGAGTGTGAGATGAACCTTGTGTCAGAGGTAAATAAATTATTGAAATCATTTCAAGAATTTTCATAATCTTTTGCATCAACATGAAATTGTACTCAGTGAGGGAAGGCTTCAACTGGTATGAGATATGAGAAAAAAATAGGTATGCTTCATTTGACAGAGGGACAGTTCAAAGAATGTGTGTGTGCATGGGAGTTACGAAGGTCTAGATTCTACCACTTACTAACTATATGACTTTGGACATATATGTTCACTTTTCTCCATCTCTTCACCTGCGTCCTGGCAATAATTCCTAACCCACCGGGGTGTTACCTATGCACACAGGGCACTCAGCCCAATGCCTGACAAATGGGAAAAGTTCAATAAGGAATTGCAGGTATTCTTAATATTGGAATGCGTGAATTACGGGGCTTCAGCCTTTATGTCTTACTTTTTTTTTTTTTTTTGTCCTAACGTAGGATAAATTTTACTGATGTATTCCCAACCAATATACACATTTTTGGAGTACCTTCTTTCTAATTCCCACACCCATCTCACTTGAGAATTAGGCAATTTTTAAAAAGGCTTCTCCAAGAAAGAAGAAAGGTTGAGTTTGTTTACTGTAAATGTAATACATTTTAACTTTTTCTCATATCTTACACCAGTTGTTTCCCATATCTTTATTTTCTGCCAGAAACTCTTCAAAATGAAAACGTGCTTGTTGTAAGCTGGGATCCTATATTTGAAAGATGCTGCTGATTCTAAAGATCACCTTTTTAACAGAATCCTCAAAAAACAAAATTTCTGTTTCTGAATAAATTATTTATCAAGTTATTTTCAATCTTTCCCTCATTATGAATAGCAGAGCAAATCTTAAGAGAAGGAGAGAGTGGTAAATCCTTAATTACATTATTTAAATATTCACAGAATTCTTAAATAAAGAGGAAATGGAGCGGGCCAATGGGAACCCAACCTCCTTAGACTTTGCAGTCAGTATCTACACATCCATCTTTTTATTCTTTCTTAGATTCGCCGTAATTAGAAATGGTCACTGGGTGGTCTCCTTCAATGGAAATTTGCTTTCTTGTTCCTTGTTTTATTTATTTTGTGATCAGAATCCTAATGTTTATTGAGTGGTCATAATGCTAGTCCCTACTTCCTGTTATATGTTTGAAGAAAACCACAATACCAACTCAGATAGGATTGTGGTTTGGTGGGGAACTTAAATGTCCATTCTAAAACCACATGGCCAGCACAGAAGTTAACAACATTCACAGGCTCTATTTCAGTTTCTAAAATCCAGGGAACACACACCTTCTTGATGTTGCAGAAACCAATGTCAGAGTTAAACGTGTGGATGCTGCCTACAGAATGTTTGGCTTGCTTTTCGAAGCAAGCTTTATTGCCTAGAATAGTCTGTAAGAGCATGCTGCAATCCAAGCAGTTCTCACTCCCCTTCCCTCTAGACTGATAATAAAAATAAGAAATGCATATTCTCTTTGTAAAGAAACATTCATTGGTCAGGCATGGTGGCTCACGCCTGTAATCCCAGCACTTTGGGAGGCCAAGGTGGGTGGATCACCTGAGGTCAGGAGTTTGAGACCAGCCTGGCCAACATGGTGAAACCCCATCTCTACTAAAAATACAAAAATTAGCCAGGTATGATGGTGTACCCCTGTAGTCCCAGCTACTTGGAAGGCTGAGGCACAAGAATCGCTTGAACCTGGGAGGCGCAGGTCGCAGTGAGCCGAGATCACGCCACTGCATTCCAGCCTGGGTGACAGAGTGAGACTCTGCCTCAAAAAAAAAAAAAAAAGAAGAAAAGAAAAAAAAGAAACATTCATCATTACTTTGTTACCTTGACACCACCCTTACCCCAATATCACCACTAGAATACCACAGAATCATCTCTTTCTTGCCCAATGTCATTCTTTTTTCCGCCGCAACTATACAATATGAAACTCTAAAATTCTCTACTCTGTCTACTTTATATAAATCCTATGTAAGTGCCACAGGCAAAAACATTACACAAAGTATTTTTAAAATATATACATTTAGAGACAATGCCTCATCCTTTGGATTAAACATGTTATAGTCCCATAAAGAAATTTAATTATATTGCTCGAAAGCATTTGTTTTTAATCATTCTAGTAGTATAATTTTTCTGCTCACTTATAATGTACAGATTACTGCAAAACAGAATTCAAGAGTATATATCCTTCAATTAAAAAATTAAAAGGACGCCAGGCACAGTGGCTCACGCCATAATCCCAGCACTTTGGGAGGCCAAGGCAGGCAAATCATGAGGTCAGGAGATTGAGACCATTCTGGCTAACACAGTGAAACCCCATCTTTACTAAAAATATAAAAAATTAGCCGGGCGTGGTGGTGGGCGCCTGCAGTCCCAGCTACTTGGGAGGCTGAGACAGGAGAATGGTGTGAACCTGGGAGGCAGAGCTTGCAGTGAGCCGAGATCGTGCCACTGTACTCCAGCCTGGGTGACAGAGCAAGACTCTGTCTCAAAAAAAAAAAAAAAAAAAAAAAAAAAAAAAAAAAAAATTAAAAGGAAATAAAGAAAAGAAAGCCTACTAAGAAAACTCCTCTCAGGAATAAAATTTATCTTCTCTTTCAATCCCCAGGGTACTGACATTTTTTAGTGTTTGACAAGAAATGCTAGTACATTCAATAAAGATTTATTTTAAAAAAACACATCTAAAATTTAACTTCACTTCCAATTTTCAAACTGTGAGGTGGAGACTGCTAAGCAGAAAAACACAAGTAAGTGAGGTTGCTCTAAGGATAATCTGAGATCCTTATTTTGCTGTGATGAGAGTGCTCACCAAGCTAAAAAGCTGTAAAATAATAGACATTCTTTTAGGTGTAGTCCAGGATTCACTGATATACAGTAATGCTCTGAAGACTGAAACACGTACACAAGAACATATTACATAGATAAAGTGCTTTCTTTTAGAAGATAAGAGATTCTATAAGGGATATATTTAATGGTGGATTCAACATACCTGTCTTCTTTAAAATACGGGAGACAAAATGGTACACCCATTCCTTCTCAGAATGACTAGTACTTTATAAAATGTGCAAGTTGTGGATTAACTGCCTCTCAGTTCCACATCCACACCTTACCCCCCTATGTGGTACTTCAGCTGGACCCTATAAAAACATCTCTCTTTTGTCAGTTGGTAAAATTTTTCTTTTCCTTTTCTTTATTTTCTTTAGAGACAGGGTCTCACTGTCCCCCAGGCTGGAGTGCAGTGGTGCAATCATAGCTCACTATAGCCTGGAATTGCTGGGCTCAAGTGATCCTCCTGCCTCAGACTCCCAAAGTGCTGGAATTACAAGTTTGAGCCACCATGCCCAACCAGTTGTTGCAACTTTAAGCTTTTTTAATAGAGGCACGGGAGGGTTGCAGCAGAGGAAGGAGCATCTTTCTTGTGTGTTGCTGCTTTCTCTTCCTCTTGACAGTCTGGCTGCCAGCAGTGTGCAGGAGATTCAGTTGAGCTCACCCTTCAGCAAGTTTCCTGGACACTCCAGCAGCTGGATTCCCATGAACAAGTTCTGGCATGTCACACCCTAATGGGCAGTTTCCTGCTCACCCGCTCTGGCCACAGGCAACCCAGAACTTCTCATGGAACAATTCCAACCTGAGGCACTACGTCAAACCTCACCAGCACCCTAGCAGGTGGCTTCTTGTGAACCAGCTCCCACCCATGGAACCCCAACCAACCCCCACTGCCCCATCATCCATTTGCAGCTGCAGCCTTTTCAATGAGGTCTCAGTCACAGCCTGGGGAGTGGACCCTCTTCCAACCTGCTCCTTCCTTGGATGCACTTCATCGGGCCTGGAGCTTGTAGCTGTTCTCTGCCTTTGCTATCCCCATATTCTTGAGAGTCTCTTTTACCCCGTTCAGTAGTCAACCACCTTTTACTAGGCAACAGTTCTCTATACTAATTTTCCTAACTGAACTCTAATACAGAGTTGGCACCAAGTGTGGTTCCTGGTTAAAGACCCTCAAAAATATTAATAGAACTTTGGGATTAGTATGGTCATGTCCTCTGACTGGAAGACAATACCAATCCTTGTCAATGGGATATGGGATGCTGGTAATCCATGGGATAAAGTCACATCAAAATTAAGCTAACACCTGTGATCAACTGCAATGAAGTGCCAACGGAAACAAGGTCTGGGAGTCAAAGAGGCTGCTGTCCTTGACTGCTATGGCAGTAATGATGAATATAAAGATTGCAGGGTACAATGAATTCTTTTGAGTGCAATGAAGCATCTACCAAAAGAAAATAAGTTTAGGTGTTTTTAACCCCCAGCCCAAGTTTAAGAACCAGAGAGCTTCCACACTAGCTCTAAAAAAATCCTTTATTTCCTGTAGCCACAGAGCTACTATTTCCAGAAATTTAAAAAAAAAAAAAATGCATTGGGTGTGTTGCTGAATTACAACATCAGTTGAATTTACAACCACAGTTTCTCACATGAAAGTTAGTGTACTGATTAAGAAAGAATGGGACCTGAAACCTGGAAACGGGAACATCTGGTTGAATTCAAGATGAAACAAACAATTTCAAACCCCAAAGAAACTCTGAGGTTCCCTTGACCATGGAAGTTGCTTGCCCTGTTATGTCTCAAGAGTCTAGCTTTCGGCCGGGCGCGGTGGCTCAAGCCTGTAATCCCAGCACTTTGGGAGGCCAAGACGGGCGGATCACGAGGTCAGGAGATCGAGACCATCCTGGCTAACACGGTGAAACCCCCGTCTCTACTAAAAAATACAAAAAAACTAGCCGGGCGAGGTGGCGGGCGCCTGTAGTCCCAGCTACTCGGGAGGCTGAGGTGGGAGAATGGCGTAAACCCGGGAGGCGGAGCTTGTAGTGAGCTGAGATCCGGCCACTGCACTCCAGCCTGGGCGGCAGAGCAAGACTCCATCTCAAAAAAAAAAAAAAAAAGAGTCTAGCTTTCTTTTCCTGGAAAATTTTGCTGAGTAGCCTCACCTGGAGTAGATGTCTTTATAAGGGGATGCTCATTCTCCTCAAGATCTCTCATAACCACTCAGTTCCTAAATCTCAATATGCTTCACAGTACACAGCATCACCCAGAAGGAAAGGGCTTATAGACTCAGAAACCTACAAGACCCTTGTTAATATCTAGTGGCAGAACTCTGGGAATATGTGTGCGGGTAGGTACCCATGGTGTGAGCTAAAGAACGCTGGGAAATATACAGCACATCTGGCTGCTTTCACGGATATAGATGCACCTACTAGAGTTTCTGGACTGAATGTCAATGGGTTAGCTCATGAAGCTAGAAGTCTCTGACAGCTTACTTGGTTGGTTGACTGAAACCTGTAATGAGGTTGAAATGCCAGAACTTCCCTGGCATGATATGGAGGATGGAATCCAAAGGCTTAAGGGGATAGGAATGTAGTGGATTTATCATGTGTGAACTACATACCCAACCCCCTCAACTACATCTCCTGAAAAGAACCAGAGACACTCCTTGCACTAAGACATTGAAAACTACATAAGTGAGGGGAGCGCTGCATCTCTGATAAAACTCTGTGGTTATTTTCCTTTGCAGACCAGTGAGACCACAGGAGATGTCATGACTGAGATGAGCTTCCTGGTTTCTTTGGAGATGGTGGGATACAGGAGGAGCAGAAAAAGTAGCAGCATTGAGTGCCAAAGACAAGATCGGTGCATTTACTATTAAAGGGATCAGGGACATATTAATTAAAGTGCTTTGGCCCACAGGAATCTCTGGTGGTAGCTAATTTATCCTGCAGTCCCTAGGAATGAAATCAGTGTGCAGCTTACTACAATACTGTATAATCTATATAACAACAACAACAACAACAAAACTGTAGGTCTGGTGGCCGTTACATCACCACAATGGAGAGTCACAGAATCACACGCAGTTCTAGGCCTAAAACAGTTTATTGACCCATAACTCTTTGATTGAAGGGAAGGCCCGGTTTCCTTCAAAAATAACCCTGCAGTGCTGCCACAGGCATATGCCATAAATCCTCCTCCAAGCCTTCACCAAAGAGGCCTGCTACCGTTACTAGATGGGCAGTGTACAGGGGGAAAAGGACATACTCAGATATTTCAGGGACTACTAAACACTAGCTCTGAACCAACACCAAGTTTCCCCACAAGTTGACTAAGAAAGAAAAAACACGAGCTCAATTTATAAATGGTTCTGCATGATACATTGGTACCAGCTGAATGAAAGTCTATGTCCACAGCTTACATTCCCAGTTAGGGGTGACCCCCAAAGAACAGCTTTTAAGGAAAATCCTCTCAGAGGGAAGAACTTTGGCAGTACATTTGGTGATTCACTTTGTCTGTAATCAGAAATGGCCAGAAATAAGAGTCTACACTATTACATGAGGCTAGATGGGTGATTGCTTATAGTTTATCTGAATGATCAGGGACTTGAATAGAAGATTATAAGATTGGTGATGAAGAATTTGAAGGAAGAGGATGTGATGGACCTCTCACATTGGGCACAGACCTCAATAATCAAATGAATACAATTATATGCTCTGTGGATGTCATTCAGCCTCCTTCCCAACCACCCCAAGGCTTGCCCAATGGGGCCATGAACAAAGTGGCCATGAGGGCAAGGATGGAGACTAAATGTGGGCTTAGTAACATGGACTTCCCCTTATCAAGGCTGAACTGTCTGTTGCCACTGCTGAGTATCGAATCTGCCAACACGGAGATAGACACTGAGCCCCTGACAGTCCCCCATTCCCAGGAGATGATGGGTGGGGAGCATCCATCCTCACTGGAATAGACATGTATCCTAGATAAGAATTTGCTCTCTGGCCGGGCGTGCTGGCTCACACCTGTAATCCCAGCACTTTGGGAGGCCAGGGCGGGCGGGTCATGAGGTCAGGAGATGGAGACCATCCTGGCTAACACGGTGAAACCCTGTCTCTACTGAAAAATACAAAAAAATTAGCCAGGCGTGGTGGTGGGCACCTGTAGTCGCAGCTACTTGGGAGGCTGAGGCAGGAGAATGGCGTGAACCCAGGAGGTGGAGCTTGCAGTGAGCCGAGATTGCCTGCTGCACTCCAGCCCGGGTAACAGAGCAAGACTCTGTCTCAAAAAAAAAAAAAAAAAGATTTTGCTTTCCCTGCCTGTAATGTTTCTGACAATATCTTCATTAGTTGCCTCACGGAATGCCTTATTCACCATTATAGTTTTCCATACTGCATTGCTTCTGACAAAGGAAACCACTTCACAGCAAGGGAATAAAGCAATGGACTCATACTCATGGAATTAAGTAGTCTCACTCCATATTCCTCCAATCAGAATCAGCTCACCTAAAAGAAATGTGTAATGACTCACTGGAAGATTCAGTTATGGCATCAAACGAGAGATAACACCCTGAAAGCATTTCTGATTTACAGGATGAAGTAAGTATATGCTTTGAATCAGGGACCACTGGCAACCCTGTAACAGAATACACGGATTTGGTAATCAAGGAAGACAAGTGAGAGTGACTCCTGGCTGGGTACAGTGGCTCATGCCTGTAATCCCAGCACTTTGGGAGGCTGAGGCGGGCGGATTACGAGGTCAGGAGATCGAGACCATCCTGGCCAACACGGTGAAACCTGGCTCTACTAAAATATAAAAATAATTAGTCAGCCATGGTGGCACGCACCTGTAATCCCAGCCACTCAGGAGGCTGAGGCAGGGGAATTGCTTGAACCCAGGAGGCAGAGGTTGTAGTGAGCCGAGATCATGCCACTGCACTCCAGCCTAGGCAACAGAGCAAGACTCCGTCTCAAAAAAAAAAAAAAAAAAAAAGTGAGAGTGATTCCTATCACTGTTATACCTAATAACTCACAGAATTAATGATCCCCATCCCAGTACCCCCGAGCTCTGCTAGTTTGGAGATCTTAGTCCCCAAGGATGGAATGCTTTCACCTTATTGCATGTGGGGACATAATAATTATTCCATTTAATTGGGATACGAGACTGCCACTGGCTATTTTAGGTTCTGAACCAACCAGCAGAAAAAGAGGATACTCTACTGACTGGAGTGATTAATCCCAATTACCAAGGGAATACTGGGTTGTTGTTAAATAATGGGGGCAAGGAAGTCTATGTCTGAAACCCAGGGGGTTCATGGGGTGACTCCTAGTACTTCTATGCCCAAGAATAGAGTTTCATGAAACAATATGACAATCAATAAAAGGCAGGACTGCTGAGGACTCAGAACCTTCAGGAATGAAAGTTCAGGTCACCCCATCAGGTAAAGCTGCCCAGCCAGCTAAGGTTTTGGCTAAGTGAAAAAAATACAGAATGACACATGGAGAAGGATGTCAGAGATCATCACTAGTTACAGAAATGCGGACTACAGCAGCTTTGGGGATTTTCCCTTTGTTCTTTTTTTTAAAAGATAATTATAGTACATTGAAACCATTTTCTTTCAAAAAAGAAAGGAAGAGGAGAGAAGGCAGGAAGGCAGGGAGTGAGGGGGCTTTGCTTGTTCTTTGTGTATATGTGTAGACACGTGTGTGTATATATATATATTTTTGATATTTAAAATATATTTTCCTTTTTGGTACTTTTAAGTTTTATTTTAAAAAATTGACAAATAATAATTGTACTTATTTATGGGGTACCTATTGACATTTCAATACACGTAGTGTATAGTAATCAGACCAGGTATTAGCATATCCATCATCTCAAACATTTATTGTTTTCTTGTGTTGGGAACATTCAGTATCCCTTTCTAGCTATTTGAAACTATATAATGTATTTTAAAATATATTTTCTTCATACCATCAAATATTCAGAGAGTTAAGTTTTCCTCCCTCTTGATTGTCTTTCTCTCTTTTTTATTTATTTACTTTTATTATACTTTATGTCCTAGGGTACATGTGCACAACGTGCAGGTTACATATGTATACATGTGCCATGTTGGTGTGCTGCACCCATTAACTTGTCATTTACATTAGGTATATCTCCTAATGCTATCCCTCCCCCTTCCCCCATCCCACAACAGGCCCTGGTGTGTGATGTTCCCTTTCCTGTGTCCAGGTGATCTCATTGTTCAGTTCCCACCTATGAGTGAGAACACGCGGTGTTTGGTTTTCTGTTCTTGCGATAGTTTGCTGAGAATGATGGTTTCCAGCTGCATCCATGTCCCTACAAAGGACACGAACTCATCCTTTTTTATGGCTGCATAGTATTCCATGGTGTATATGTGCCACATTTTCTTAATCCAGTCTGTCACTGATGGACATCTGGGTGGGTTCCAAGTCTTTGCTCTTGTGAATAGTGTCGCAATAAACATACGTGTGCATGTGTCTTTATAGCAGCATGATTTATAATCCTTTAGGTATATACCCAGTAATGGGATGGCTGGGTCAAATGGTATTTCTAGTTCTAGATCCTTGAGGAATCGCCACACTGTCTTCCACAATGGTTGAACTAGTTTACAGTCCCACCAACAGTGTAAAAGTGTTCCTATTTCTCCACATCCTCTCCAGCACCTGTTGTTTCCTGACTTTTTAAGGATTGCCATTCTAACTGGTGTGAGATGGTATCTCATTGTGGTTTTGATTTGCATTTCTCTGATGGCTAGTGATGATGAGCATTTTTTCATGTGTCTGTTGGCTGTATGCATGTCTTCTTTTGAGAAGTGTCTGTTCATTTCCTTTGCCCACTTTTTGATGGGGTTGTTTTTTTCTTGTAAGTCAAAAGAACAAAGCACTACCTGACTTCAAACTATACTATACTACAAAGCACACTACCTGACTTCAAACTATACTACAAGGCTACAGTAACCAAAACAGCATGGTACTGGTACCAAAACAGAGATATAGACCAATGGAACAGAACAGAGCCCTCAGAAATAATACCACACATCTACAACCATCTGATCTTTGACAAACCTGACAAAAACAAGAAATGGGGAAAGGATTCCCTATTTAATAAATGGTGCTGGGAAAACTGGCTAGCCATAAGTAGAAAGCTGAAACTGGATCCCTTCCTTACTCCTTATACAAAAATTAATTCAAGACGGATTAGAGACTTAAATGTTAGACCTAAAACCATAAAAACCCTAGAAGAAAACCTAGGCAATACCATTCAGGACATAGGCATGGGCAAGGACTTCATGTGTAAAACACCAAAAGCAATGGCAACAAAAGCCAAAATTGACAAATGGGATCTAATTAAACTAAAGAGCTTCTGCACAGCCAAAGAAACTACTGTCAGAGTGAACAGGCAACCTACAGAATGGGAGAAAATTTTTGCAATCTACTCATCTGACAAAGGGCTAATATCCAGAACCAACACTTGCGTATATTAATCATTTCTCTCTGATCTCTCCTTATTCCCCTTGTTATTTTATATACAAATTGTTAGAGGCTAACTTTATGATTTAGTCTTTAGGTAACAGAACATTCAGTGTACTGTAATGAAATCTGAGGAGAAATTAATAAAGCAGGCAATGGACACAGTGACTGTAGGGACTGCATCTCATTTTGGGGAAAGGGTGAGAACTTGTTCATTTGTACAAAGGGCAGCTGACCTTCATCATAGGTGAAAAAAGAGAACTGTTTCATTATTACATGGAAGTTCAAGTGTGTGTAGATGGTGTATATAGAAGCTGAGTAACCAAACAGATGAACTGTGCCAGTTAACAATTTATTGCCTCTCAGCACCAAATCCATCGTGTTTTGCGCTGCCTCGTGATTCTGGAGCTATGCCCTGTAAATACTTTTCCTCTGCCAGCTGGCACAGTGTTAACCTGTGTCAATACAGGGCACTGGAGGGACCGCTGCAAGGCACAATGGAGGAAGAGACCTGTTTCCTATGTGCTTTTCCTTCCTCCAGTG